TGTGCGCGTTGCTACTTATTTTTTATTCTCTCGTTCCACTGAGAACAAAAAAAATCGATTAAGCCAAGAACTTACTAAAATTGGGAAAAGATAATCGATGAAAAGACGTGTTTCGTTGTGTGGAATCTCTCGAAACGACGAGAGCAGTGTGGTAATCGAATATATCGCTTCACATCTCACCTGAACCATACTGTCAGAGAGCATGTCAACCTGAAACAATTTTTGCCGTGAGGGCTAGGACAAAGTGGATTAATGGATTACCAAAAAAGTATCCACAGGCAAATCCAAGACGGTCCCCTTGGGAGAAGGGAAGTGAACCCGACGGCGCGGGGAGAGGGAGGGGGAAGGTGAAAGACAAATCGTTCTCACCTCCCGGATCCGTCAATGAAAGTATCTAATGAGCCCATACGATGAAAAGAGTGACTTGAACGCCAGTGAACAAAACAAGCTCAAAGTAGAGAAGAATGGAGAAGTTGCCAACTGTTAGAAATGAAATGTGAAATGTCAAATGAAATGTCACCAGTGTAAACAGCCGATAAAACCGCTAGCTGATTAAAATATTCAAAGCAAAATGCAAAAAAAAAAGAAAAAAAAAAGAATGAAATGTGCTAAGCACAAACCATATATGGTAGGATACGATCAGCAACAACAGAAGCACCCATTATTGGTACAAATTTATGCAACAATTTCATTGCTTCCTAAAAATATTTTTTGATTTTTTAAAACAAAATTTTTTTTTCATTCATACATTTTAAAAAGCATACAAAAACCTAAATACTAAAATACCAAAAATACCGAATTAATTACCAAAATGCAGTACTTAAATAGAGAATAGGCAGCAAATAACTTACAAATTTCGTTGTCTGTGATTTCAGTGCTCGCATATTCGATGTAATCAATGCAACAACAAGTAAAGCTACTGGTGTTTGATCGATCGGCTTTCCATCTACCAGCGGTTTTTCCGAAAGTTTCTCCATAATTAGATCCAAATCAGATGCTAATCTGCAAAAACAAATAAAAAAAATCCTCTTAATCTCTAGGAGAACCAAAAGGCTCGATTCCAAAACGAATCTCAGAAAAACTGAAAATTCTGCCTATGCCTGGAGAACATTTACCTCAAGCAATGTTTATAATTTTCAAAAAAAAAAAAAAAGAAAAAATCAAAAATACTTTGCAATTACGTCATCCGAATCCATCGTTATGAATGTTTGTGGTTCTTCCAATGACACACTTGTTTGTACATATTTCGGTCGAAAAGCACTCATATATTTGTAGAGGAAAAAATCGAATACAGGCGGGAACAGATATGGTGCATATTTTTGAAGCTGAAAACCCAGAATGTTACTGGATAACACAAATACAACATTAGAATGAAATAAGTGGTAATGAAGTTGACAGCTACGTCTATCTTGGCCAAGAAGTAAGTATGCGCCACAAAATTACAACTGGAGATTGTATAAAGAACGGCTTCAAAATTTATACGTTCCAGAGACTCACGACGGAAAACCCAGGATTTGACTGAATAAAAAGAAGCCAGCATTAGAATAAGTGATAATGAAGTTGACAGTTACGTCTAATTTGGCCAAGAAGTAAATATGCGCCACAAATTACAACTGGAGATTGTACAAAGAACGACTTCAAATTTTATATATTCCAGGAATTCATGAAGGAAAACTCTGAATTTAATTGCATAAAATAATATAAATCAGAACTAGAATGAAATAAGTAATAATGAAGTTGACAATTACGTTTATCTCGTCTAGGAAGAAAATATGCGCCACAAACTTCAACTGGAGACTGCATGCAAAAAGGCTTCAAGTTTTATATATTCAAGAAACTCACGGCGGAAAACCCAGAATTTGATTGGATGAAAGGAAATCAACATGAAAATGAAATAAGTTAAAATGAAGTTAACAGTTACGTCTATCTTGACCAAGAAGTAATTGTGCGCCACAAACTCCAACTAGAGATTGATAATTCAAAACGGCTTCAAATTTTATATATTCCAGGAATTTACTGCGCTGACTGAGTCGAATACTATCAAAAAAAAAAAAAAAAAAATATGCAGAAATTTCGAAGAG